GCCTAATGTGGGACTAGAACTCACCTCTCCTGGTGATTGGTTCAAAGTCAGCCAGCTGCCTTTTATACCTAAGGTGGGACTGGAACTCCCTGTCTCCGGGTGATTAGAGCAAAGTCACCCAGGCAGCTTTCTTACTTAAGGGGGGACTAGAACTCACTGTCTCCTGGTGATTGGCCCAAAGTCACACAGCAGCTTTCATACCTAAGGTGGGACTAGAACTCACCTCTCCTGGTGATTGGTCCAAAGTCACCCAGTTGGCTTCATTCCTAAGGCAGGACTAGAACTCACTGCCTCCTGGTTTCTAGCATAGTGCCTTTACCTCTAGACTCAACTGGATTTCACAGTTGCACCAATCCCAGAGCAACACAATCGCCTTCCTCTTTGAAATCAAATGCAACCAAGATCATGGCATCCGGCCCTCTCAATTCCTGGCAAATAGATGGGGAAGAAATGGAGGTAGTGACAGATTTTATCTTCCTGGGCTCCACAATCACCGCAGATGGGGACTGCAGCCAAGAAATTAAAAGACGCTGGCTCCTGGGGAGGAAAGCTATGGCAAATCTAGACAGCATACTAAAAAGCAGAGACATCACCCTGCCAACAAAAGTGTGTATAGTCAGGGCCATGGTTTTCCCAGTTGCAATGTATGGCTGTGAAAGCTGGACCGTAAGAAAGGCTGAGCGCCAAAGAATGGAGGCCTTTGAACTCTGGTGCTGGAGAAGACTCCTGCGAGTCCCCTGGACTGCAAGGCGATCAAACCGGTCAGTCCTAGAGGAGATCAACCCTGACTGCTCCTTAGAAGGCCAGATCCTGAAGTTGAAACTCAAGTACTTTGGCCACCTAATGAGAAGGAAGGACTCACTGGAGAAGAGCCTGATGCTGGGAAAGATGGAGGGCAAGAGAAGAAGGGGACGACAGAATGAGGTGGCTGGATGGAGTTATTGAAGCAATAGGTGTGAGCTTAAATGGACTCCAGAAGATGGTAGAGGACAGGAAGGCCTGGAGGAACGTTGTCCATGGGGCCGCAACGGGTCGGACATGACTTCGCAACTAACAACAACTCAATTGTTTTTAAGTTTTGCTCTGCTCCAATGATTTCTTTTATCAGAACAGGCTTTTATTGACAATTCTCTTTTTTCCCGTCTTCTTTTCCTCCTCCAGATTATTCTTAATTCCATGCACAAATACCAGCCCAGGTTGCACATAGTGAAAGCGGATGAAAACAACGCATTTGGCTCAAAGAACACAGCTTTTTGCACTCACGTGTTTCCAGAAACCTCCTTTATATCGGTGACATCCTACCAAAATCATAAGGTAGGTTTGTAGCTCACTTCAAAGACCCCCCCCCTTTTTTTGCTTTGTGAATTCGATGTAAGATGCAAATTAAAACATCAAGGTAAGGTTTTTTTTAGAATGTCTTTAAATCTGAAAGGGTCAATTCATCTTCATCCCAGCAAGCTCATGTGAATTGTGAATTATCACTCTCAAAAATATGAAGTTTTCTTTTCCACAACTGTCTTGGTCATTTCCATATGTGCAGATTGTGTGCAGTCCAGAAATTAATTGTAGGCAGTACAGTATAATTTTTTCCCTGTTTCTTCTGACCTTATTTAAGCATTGAATTTTTAATAGAATAGTATTGGGCCAAAATTAAACAAAAGCAATTTTTTTTTGTTCTCTCTCAAGAGTGGAGTTTAAATAAACCCCAAATTAAATTTCTACTTGAAATTCAATTCAACGCCTGCTGATTTAATGGAAAAATCTAAATAATTTTTTGGCAACAACCTGGAGGAAATAGTTGCCATTCATTGTTGTAATATTCATTTCAGGCTAGGCTACACTATTGGGATTTTCTCTTCAGCTTCCCCAACCAATTATTAATCCGGTCTAATTCTGTTAAAATTCATTTCCTCCAAAATGCTGAGAAATCAAACCTGCTCTCAAAAAATTAAAAATTAACTACTGAATAATTCTAGGATTCTCTGTATTGAGGAACCTTCTCCAGAAATTGTTCTATTCGAGACCTGTTATTATGCTCATTGTTTTTAATATTGTGCACTGCCTAGAATAGTGTCCCTTAATCTTGGCGACTTTAAAATGGGGGGACTTCAGCTCCCAGAATTCCCTAGCCAGCCATGTTGTGGAGTTTTAATGTTGTAACCTGCCTAGAGTCACCTATCTGTGAGTTGGGCGGCCATATACATTTCTTTAATACATACATATATAAAATCTCTTGCAATTTGAACATGAAGAAAAGGTGGAGCCTTTTGTAAAGGTCAAGGAAGTGGGGGGGGAGGGGAGTGGAATTAGAATGGAAGCCATTGGAAAAGATTTGTCCATTGCCTTGCCCATAGATATCTCCCAGGTCAAAAAAGTCAAAATGGCAGTCAGAACATGGGGTTCAAGTCCCACACTTCAAAGAGCTGCAGAACCTGGACCACATCATTGTAGCTGCCATCTTGAGTTTTTTGACACCAGCAAAAGATTGGAGCCCCGCCTTCTTTAGATGATTGAAGCCCCACCCTCTCCAGGTGTTTGAAGCCCCACCCTCTCCAGGTGACTGAAGCCCCACCCTCTTCAGATGATTGAAGCTCCACCTTCTCTAGATGATTGAAGCCCCACCCTCTCCAGATGATTGAAGCCCCGCCTGCTTTAGATGATTGAAGCCCCACCTTCTCTAGGATGATTGAAGCCCCACCCTCTCCAGATGATTGAAGCCCCACCTTCTCTAGATGATTGAAGCCC